TCGACCGTCAACGGTGCGCGTCCCCGCGCCGGCCGCGTCGCGTCCGACGCCGCGCGCCGGGCGCGGCCGTCCGGCAAACGGCGCCGCCACAACAGCCTGCTTATTTAATCCGGACAGCCGCACTGAGGACCGCCGGCTGCGAAACAGTGGCGCCGCGTCGGCGGTCGTTAATAGAGGCGTCACGCGGGCCCGGCTGCGTATCAAGATCGCCGGCGCCACGGCGCGCGCGCCGCCGGAATAGCTCGGCGCTGGATGGTGCCCGGTAACGCACGGCCGGTCCGCAGCGCTACCCTGACGACGGCCTAAAACCTTCCGGCTTGGCTTTTGCGTTTATTGTTTACTTGATTTCATGCAGTTCTTGGCGGGGGAAATCGATGAAGTTCCAAGTCGATCGCAGTAAATTTAGGGAGTTTATCATAGCAGGGACCGCTGAGATCTGTGCGAACACAGTCTGTTTAAAAGCGAAAAACAAGTAACGATTTCCCCTATAGGCGCGCGGCCACCTTTCTCATTCGACTTGAGTGAAAGCGACGGCGAGGCTGGTCCGTCGTCATAACAAGCCTCCCTGCCATTGGCCCCTGTGCCTGCGGGATGAGGTGAGTGACTCAACTCACCGCCGCGCTGGCCTCGGCAGTGGGCGGAGCTTAGGTCCGGCTCCGCGGCAGCGCCGCCCTGTTCGAGTCGCAAAATTCCATTACGCCTGCGGAAACAAATTGCTATTGACTGTCTGACTTGACCAGAACTTTTCTAAAATCGCGGCGGGCTCTGTTGGATTCGACTCGTATTCAATGCGATGAAGTCAAAACTTAGGCGATACCCCCTACAAAAACCAAAGGTTCGAAGCCAACGCTAATAAGGCCGTTGAGCGCTGTTTGAACGCGCCTAACGGAAACTGGACACGGCCGGAGACAGGATTCATGGCAAGGTGAGCCCTGGATGGAAGGAAGTATCATGTGGACGGCGCCCTGGACACGTACCGACCGGATAGCCCACCGCCGTAGTCGGGCGCAGCAATCGAGACCTGGGGCACACAGGGAGCGCAGCTACAAAAGTCTTGTAATGGCAGGCTTCACCAATGGGACATCCGTCCAGTCCCTAAAGGTCCTCGCCCGGTCGGCGGCGGTCTCTGTCCGGCCGGCGGAGGTCTCCGTACCGCCGGCGGCAGTCTCCGTCCGGCCGGCGGAGGTCTCCATCCGGTCGGCGGCGGTCTCTGTCCGGCCGGCGGAGGTCTCCGTACCGCCGCTGACGGTCTCCGTTCAGGCCGACCGGAGCCGAGGCCGCCGCCGCCGCCGCCTGGGCACCACCACGGAAAGCGGCTGGTTCCGGCGGCGCCAGGTGAGTGGCGCGCACCGGAAGTCCTCGGGTCGCTCACCGGACGGCGCCGCCGGGCCCACGGAAGCGCGTCTCGGCGTCGCCGCCGCTGCGGCCGGGCGTCCGGCGCCGCCGTTTAAATGTTCAAACGGACGGGGTGGGCAGGGGGGGGGGGGGGCTGGGGAGGGGACGGGACAGGTGGTCCGCGGTCACGGGCCGTGGCCACCGGAGGGGGAGGTCACGGGCACCTGGCGAGCGCTGCTCGTCAGCTGGGTGTTCCCGGATGGATGGGAAAGGACGCGGCACCGGCCGTCACGGCCGGTCAGCTCCGGTGAAGCGGCAGAAGGGGAGCGTCATCACCGGCTCCACGTGCCCTGTCGACTGACGTTTCGCAGGTCCTATCTGAGCAGCCCATCTGCTCCAAACAGAGCCGTGTTGGCTGAACCCGGCCTACGGATAGCTTTGGCGCCGGCTTGTGTCCGGCTCTGGCGCCAACGCGCCGCCACAGAGCCCCACTGCGTCTCCGGCTTGTGTTCGGCTTTGACGCCAACGCGCCGCCACAGAGCCCCACTGCGTCTCCACGGCAGCGCCCATGTGCCTGAGGTACTGCTTTAAATTCGGTCACGATCACGGCTCTGACAGCGGACCCGGCAGCCCGACAACCGGCGAGGCTACACAAACAGCCATGTTGTTGGGCCTGACGCTGTTGTCACGTCTGTGTGACGTCACCCGGCACCTGGATGCAACACGGAGCACGACATCCAATCAGCTGCCGCTTCGTCCGCGTGCCGTTTGCGTACAATTAACTGGTGTTGGTTATCAGTTGCGGCGCGCTGGCAAGGCCGGCAAGACGCGGAGCCGCCCGGCGCCAAGCGCGAATTATAATAATGGTTGATGAAGAGCTGATGGTTCTAATCGGTGCAGAGGTTTTTACTGAATTCGCAAACGTTTTCTTGTGGCGGTAACGATTCAGTAATCGTGAGAAAAACACGTGCCCATCGGAGGGAATAAATCAAGCGGGTCAAATTAAGGCCGCGCTTGGGCGATACAAAACACCGGATTCATCAATAACGTACGGAAAAAAACCGGCGTCAAACGTAAAACTGCGGGGAAAAACACGCCCAATTTGAGCGGCATAAGTCACTCAGACGTGTTCAGATGCCTCTCCTCCCACACAGCGCCGGTGGCCGTGACAGCCCCCTTAACGCGGGGACAGGGCGCGGAGCTCCTCTCCTCCGCGCGGCGGCGCGGCCTGCGGCGGCTCCCACCAATTGCGTGACGATGGGCACCTCCGCCGTCAAAACAGCGCGGGACGCCGCGGCGTCGCCGCTGCCTCCCTTCCGGGCGGCGGAGCTCCGGGCGAGCTCTCGTCGGCGGACAGTGACCGGCCGGCCGGCCGGTGAGGGATGACCGCCGGACCGGCCGACACGGCGCGTCCCACGCCGCCGGTAAATGGTGACAAATTGACAGCACGCCGCTCCGCGCCCGGTCAACAGCTGCCGGTCCGGTGCCAACGCCTCGCGCCACCGGTTCGAGCCAGGGCGCCGCGGCGGTGAAGTCCCAGCACTGGCGCCAGCGCCGTCAGAAACGTGCGGTCCCAGCCAGCACCACGGGTGGTGTGAAGTCCCGCGCAGCGCAGCATCAGGAGTTTAGTGCCGGCCGGTGGTGTGGAGTCAGCCAGCGCTGTCCAGTCAGGTGATCAGAGAGACGGCGGAACGTGAAAACCCGAGGCTCAGCCAAGACGCTGTAAGAAATTTCAGCCTCAATAAGGTGCACCCGAACGTCTGGACCCGCACGTCTCCAATGGCCTTCTCTCGATCCAGATCCAGATCCGTGCCTGTCTTCAGATCCAGACCCCTGACGGCCGCCACAGGTCGCCAGCTCAGCACCAACTTCTCCCTGGGACCCGAGTCCGCCGAGACCCGGTCGCCGTCAGTACCTCCACCCAAAGGTGTGGGCTGTGGCACCCAGCTCCCGGCCGCCCGACCGCCGGTGGCGCTTTTTGCGGCGTCCGCTGCGCGAACACGACCAACACGCCGTGCCCGCGTGCCAGCCGATAAATTAGCCAGGTGCGAAACCGGCACCGATGACTCGGCCTTTCTCGGCGCTGCAGCGCGGCGCCGGGCGACATCTGCACACTTTTTCAGCGGCGCTTAAACAAGCACGCGCCTGCAGCGCACAAAAGAGCGACGTGGGCTAATATTGATCCGGCGATGAGAAACGTCGGCCGTTGTGCGCACCCGGAGCCGGCGGCACGCCATACGCCGAGCGTGCACAGCGGGCCGGAGCGCTCGATGGGGATCAATCGGGGCCACGCGCGTCCGGGCGCGGCTGACGGGCCGGCGGCGCGCCTCGGGGTCGACCCCGGGCTGACCGGCCGCCGGGCCGCTCGGGTCATTACCGGCGGCACACATCGTGGCACGTCAGGCCCGAGTACCCTGCAGCCCGGGTGCTCAGTTTCAATCAGCGATCTGGGGAGCGCGGCCCGGCGGCCGTGCGGCGTGCGCGCCGATTTCAATGATGCAGCACGTCGCAAAAAGCGGCCGGCACGTTTCGTTTACATGACAAAGGGGACGGCCGGGGCGGCAGGTCGGTCCCTCCCCCTCCCCGATCACGTGACTGGGCAGATCAGCGGACATCCCGGGACAATGCGCCGGCTGGCCGGCCGCTAGCGCAGCCCTCGCAGACCTCTCAATTACGGCTAACTAAGCCGATAGTGGGCTTATCTCGACCGGCACAAAGGCGTCTGATTACGTGGCAGTGGCAAAAAGCGGGTCCTCGTCTTTTAGACTGCGAGATTTGAGACTCTCTACTCATATCCGGTCGACTGCCGGCGCCTGGGACGACTCTGACTCAGCGGAGGGTCGGTATCTCGGCATCGGAGTACATTCGATCCAGCCGGCCGGGCCGGGCCGGGCCGAGGCCAGCAGCGCTCTCCCGTACCTCCAGACCCGACCCGGGACGCGCCGCAGCCGACGGGCGCCGTTACTCTGCCGCATCGTGTCGAACCTCGTAAATGTCGCGGCTCACTGGCGGGAACGTTGGTAGAAAATGAAAATGGTGGGCATTTTAGTATCTTTTACACGAAAGTTTTCGGGAATTATGCCGGCCGAGCATCTAGGCCCTCTTAACTTTGCTGTTCAATATAGATAAGTGGACACGTGGCAACAACTCATGGTGTGCGGATAATGCACAGTGGAAGTGAGCATAAAAATATATAAAATGTCGGCGTCAAGTGTAGAGTACATACACGTCCCTCCTAGAGTTCCTGGCATGCGCAGGTCACGACGCTAAAGGTTTCGGAACACTTTCCCTCCCACAGCCCGTCTGGCCAGGTCACCAATCAGCATTGCATTGCCCAACAACGAGATGGGGGAGGCCCAAAGGACAGATCAGTTGGTCCCGTTGACTGTGCTCGACTCTTGAAAACCCACGCGAGTATCCGGCAGTTAACATCGTTGTCCTGTCGAGAAGCCTGACGTCGCCCTCCGCCACACTTAACACTCTCCAGGTCCTCCCGGCCCGTAGCGCGAGGGCACACGAGAGGCCCTGCTCCCACACGGATTGGCTGACATTTGCCAATTTGCCTGCCCTGTGTTTTCGCCGGTTTTTGTGGAAGCTCTTACGCCGGGCGGCCGCCGTGTTTACGCTACACCCGCCGGGAGGCCGGCGGCCGTTTTTCCACGTACCCGGATCAGGAGCGTATTGTTCTTGGTGTCGGCTGTCACGCTGCTGATGGTGTACTGCTTCTGCTCGAAGGTGGGGATATTCTCGTTGCGCCGTCGCCGTCTCCGCACCTCAGCGCCTGCGGGCAAACGTGCGGGTCAGTGCACGCCGACACGGGAGAGCAGCGCGGGCCGAATCAATGCCCGCAGCCGGCACTGAGTCGTTCAGCCGCGCCGGCCGTTTACGAGTGCAGCCGGCGGCGGGCGCCGTCTCGTAAAGTAACGCCGCGTCGGCAGCGGCGCGGCGCGGCGCCGTCCGCGCTCGGCGTCCTGGTGCGGTCAGCGGCGATCTCACACTCGTCACCGCCGGACCGCGGACCACGCCGGACCGGACCGGACCGGACCGGACCGGAACCCACTGGTTCGCCGCCGCAGCGCTGCAGGAGATGATCGAGTGCCGTGAGAACCTGGCGGAACAAAACGCGCCGCCAGTTACCGCGGTCGCACCTGCACGGGCGCCGAGGCGGCGCCGGCCGACCCGGCATGGGAGGCGCGCGCCGCTCTCAGCCAACGGGAACACGCAGCGGCGTCCGCAAACGGTGGGAAACACATGTAACGCACCCAGAAAGCTCTTGGAGCTACGTAAATGCGGCTGCCGGCTGCTGGGCGCGCGCGTCTTTCCGCTAAGTAATTGAGTTTCCGCTCATGGAGCTTTGTGGAGGGGCAGGAGAGGGTGTTCGTGCCCTCTCGGGCGGCGCGGGCTACGTGCCCGGCCCCGGCTGGCCATTCACGTGCGCAGCGTGACAATGTGGGGTGGCCGGCGTGACGGCGGGGTGCCGCCACGGCCCTGACACCCGGTCATTATCGGCGCCCGGCGGCATTCAGGCCCGGCCCGTGACGCGACCGGCGCCGTGATCGGACCTCGCGCAGGCTTCCTCTCCGCTGCGCCTCAATGGGTGTAATGCGATATTAGCCGATCTCTCATGACACAGAGTACCGTTCCGCCCATTCAGCTATACAAATCCCGGCCATTGAGGCAAGCTTGCCTCTGAACGCGCCTGCATTTTGTATTTTTTCCGCGGCAGAAGCGCCGCCGGCGATACGCCGACAAAAAGGGGGCTCCCGCTGGCGTCTTTCACCAAGGCCGGCGCGTGAAAGAAAATTTGCACCTCAAAACCCTTATTAGATCGCTGTAGAACCACTTGTGATTGAGCACAATCGGAGCTACAAAGCGGCAGCCTTGTACGGGCCGGTCGGAGCGCGAGTCAAGCGGACGGGGGCGGCCGCCTGCGCCGCCGAGGCTGGCCGGGCCCGGAGCCGCCCGGCACAACTCGGCCACAATGGGACGGACGACACGGGTTCCGCCAGAGAGGCGGAGATGAAGGGTGACAACGCACTTAACCCACAATGGCTGTTTGATCTATTTCGGACGGCGTATTGGACGACTCGGACGGCGTGTGGATTGAGTTCTTCACTCTCCAGGGCGGACGGGGAGGGACATGGGCGGTCTGGAGGAAGGTTCAGAGAACGAAGCTGATGAGTGGCCTCGGCGGGGAGTAGTTTTGGGGTTAGTATGACAGCGTGTGTTGAAGAGCCGCATAGGTATAGTTCAACATTTGAAAGCAGACTTATGCTGGCATGTTTCCTGGCCTACCACTGACAGGCTGTCGATGACGCTTCAGTGCATTCACTTGTCAACAGCAACGCCAAATCACGAGACAAGTTTTCGTTTTCTTCCTCTACCTGAGCTGTCAACGGATCGATGCATGATCTAATCATCCTTTAGCGACGCCACATGCACGTGTGTGAAACAGAAACTGCGCCTTGGTGATTGATGACGCGTTCACTCACGTTCGGGGCTCGATGAAAGCTTCGAATCATTTTCCATCTGTTCACGATCCGATTTGTCATGCCGCGAGCATGCTGCGTTTCCTCGCTATTCGCTCGCACTTCCTGTCAAGTGTTACTCAAGCCCTGCGCTTCCGGCCTGACGTCAGTCGCACCCGGCGTTTGCTCGCTGGAAGGTTGGTGAGCGAAAACGCTTCTGACGCCTGTTGCGCGTTGGCGGAGATTTGTGAGATATCATAACATGCTTTCTTCAGGCTGCCTTTTCAATGTGTGGTGAAGTATTGTGGACACGTGAAGAGAGGGCAAGGTTATTGCGTGTTATGCATTAACCCAACATAAGCCCACGTTAATATAGCATAAGCCCACGTTAATGCGTGTTTAGCATGAGCCCAATGTAAGCCCACGGTAAAATGTCAAGCGGAATCCACTAAATCACAGCAGCTCCAGTTATGACATCACGACGAGATGAACTGCTATTACACGGACGGCGCTGACATGCGTCTACCCGACAGCGCGGTTGCTCAGACTCCGAGACAAACGGCAAACAATGTGACAACCGGCGCTGAGTCCCTCTGGTCACCGGCGGCGCGTAAACAAGGTAGGCCGCCCACTCGTCGTCTGCGTCGGCGCCCACACAAGCCGCCAAGCCGGCGCCGGTGCCGCTTCGCCCTGCGAGTCCCAGCCATCTCGCTCGCCGCGCCCCGCCATCCATCGCCATGACGGCCGCGAAGGAGGCAAAAAGCGACATCAGACGCGTCCTCCGCCCGCACCGGGTCGGCCGCGAGCCGCCGCGGCGCCGTCCCGTTTTGACAGCGTCGGACTCCTCCCGTGACACGGCCGTGGCCCCGGCGACACCGCATCGATCACCGGAGGCGGCTCCGCCCGAGCAGTGGCATTATCTCGTCGCGATGCCGGCGGCGCACAGGTGATACCCGCCCGCGCTTCCGGCGGCCTGTAATCCGTGTCCCTTTCGACAAACAGTGGCGGCGGCGGCGGCGGCGGCGGCGGCGGCGCCGCCGCCGCCGCCGCCGCCGCCGCCGCCGAGCGCGTGCGCGCGCCGCCCGGCACCCGACCGCGGTTACGGGTGACGCCCACGGCGCCGCCGGGTCATGACCCGGGCTCGTGATGGTGGCCTCACGTGCGTGCTCGCGGCGACGACCGGGGCGCCGGGTTGGCATTACGCCGGCGGTGCCATTTGTTGGCGTGCGCCCGTTTCTCCTGTCCAGCCGCCGCAACCAGGTGCTGTAACGCGGGTAGGCGCCGCGGACGGACGCCGCGGCGCGCGCAGCCCGGTCGGCATCGGTCGCCGGGCCGCCTGAAGCACAGTCTTGGCTCGGCTCGGTTCAGCTTGGCGCTTCACTCTTTCCACGGCTGTTTTCGCCGAGCGGTGCCAATTAGCTGGCGCTTAGTCGGCGAAATTAGCCGCCGGTTAGACGGCTGCGAGGTGGGCGCCCGCTGACGCGTCCGCCCACGTGGTCCCGTCCGTCCGCTTCGCCCCGAGGACGACAAGACATGCTGAGCTACACGACAGGAAGCGGCAGACTGGCAGGTCACGTTCTCTACGGCGACAGATGCGGACCCGGCAACCCGGACGCAGCGGGGATCGGGTGCACGGGCGACGCGCGAGACGATGAGGCTGCAGAAAACGCCGCGCGCGTGACGCGTCGGAAACGTCGCCGCGTGGGCTCAGCTGGCGATGCAGCAGCAATGTACGCCGGCGAAGACAGAGCAGCGTCTCTCCGCACATCACCGTCGGCCGGCGACTGAGCTCTGCTCAAGCGAACAGAAACTGGGATGCAAAGTCAGCCAGCTTGATCTGGGAATGAAAGCGCCGGCGGCATAAGCAGCATTTTTACGTACAGTGAGCCTCGCGTCGTTCTATGCGACCCTCAGTGACTTACGGCACACGCGGATGGGGCTCGCAGCAACCTCTGAACGGACCCACAGCATCTATTCAGTCAAAGAAAAACGACTCGCACATATTCATCCCTGAATCAACGTCACGTGAATGGACAGCTGAGCCCCGAGATTCTGCCCAAAGACTTCACACACCGCATACCGCACGGCGTTCTCAAAATACCACACTGGCTCACAGAAGGGCAGGCCAGCACAAAGCGGGTAGTCCCCAGAGGTGGGAGTGTCAGCCCACCCCCTCTCAGCCGACGCCAAAGATCTCCTGGACGCTGCGCGCGCGTCACAGTCGCCGACGGCTTACGCGGCACAGTCGCGGCTTAATTGGCGCGGCCGTATTGCGCCGGTGGCGCCACGGATGAATGCGCCCTGCGCGCGATAACTTACGGCCCGGCCGGCGCACACGCTGTTTTTGCAACGCCGTTTACGCTGGATTCAATTCGGATCTATTCAGGCGGCGTGACGGCCGTCAATTTATTGCCGCCGTCGGACGTCGCGACTCCCGACATGGCCGACAACAGGCCCATTGGGAGGCAGCCGGCGCTGAAGAAAGGGGCACGGTCAAAGCCGGGGTCCGACGGCCATTCAGGCGACACACCGAGTACGCCTCGGGCCGACCGTTTTATGCGTACTCCGGCTCCAGGGATGCGCAGAAGGAATGCGCCCTTTGTCGCGCCGAGTACAGCGTCAAAGGCCCGTGAAAACGGAGGCTGAATGCTACGAAATTTACGAAAATATATCTGAATGCGGCTGTCGGCCCGAGTCACTCGAATGGCGCCTGGACGGGAATGTTTCATAAGCGCGTCTCTCTGGCGGCCGGGCCGGTCATGAATGTGACGCGGACGTTTCGATCCGGCGACGCGGTCGGGTCCGATTGGGCGGATGGTCCACCGGTCACAACGGCTTCCACCAGTCACCACGGCTTCACCGGGCGCCACGGCTTCACCGATCACAACGGCTTCCACCGGTCGCCACGGCTTCCACGGACCACCATGGCTTCCACCGGTCGCCACGGCTTCCACGGACCACCATGGCTTTCACCGGTCACCACGGCTTCCACCGGGCGCCACGGCTTCCACCGGTCACCACGGCTTCCACCGGTCAACACGGCTTCCACCGGTCACCACGGCTTCCACCGGTCACCACGGCTTCCACCGGTCACCGCGGCTTGGCCACCAGCCGAATTCCAATATGCAATCAGAACAGCGATGAATACGCCCCTGGGTACCCTCTCACTAGTGTTGTGACTTCGGGCCCTCGGTTCAACTTGGGAGCGCAGTGGGACCGTCGAATGCCATCGAAAACCACGTTTTTGGGGGCCGCACAGGTGCCTGGTTCGTGACGGAATGCAACGGCCGTTCCATTTCAGCTGAAGTGCTCG